ATACTTAAAGAATCATACTTTGTACAAAGTTAGGATAGGAAATTTTTTTTTTTACCACATAGTGTAGATGCTCTCTGTTAAAACCAAATCGTAACCAAACAACTTTACAAGTCCTGATATACTATTTGCAGCATCTAAATAGCTGTGATGTATTCTTTCCTGACATTGACATTCTATCGTCTCCTGAAGTAGATGCTCGTATTTAACAGTTCGTACGGAGAAACCCCCCTTATGATAAATGGGACCAACCCATCCCCCGGCTACAATACGCATACATACTTCAATACGGCTCGAACCAACACAGGCACACTAAGTCACCGAGTACAGGACTATAGATTGTACTATATGCCTGACAGCTGTATATGATGTACAAGCATACAAGCATGACCTTCTCACCACACCAGCCATGTGATCCAACGCACCAGTGCATGACATCGCCCATGTGGTCCGGATCTCAACTCAGCTTCTTCTTACTGCCCACCGCCGCCAGTACGCCTCGTTTCCTGGTACCCGGTTTCAACTCCTCTATCTCCACCACTTCGATGTTCTCTGTATCCTTGAGGCGCCTGTCCAACCTCAGCGACGCCCCGACATACGCCGCCACGGAGGTGTCTAGGCGCTTCGCGTGAAGGTGTCGGCTGACTCGCCTATTCATCTTCTCCCATACATGATCCTTCATGAACATGAGGTCGAGCTTGGTGTATCGCGCACACATCCTAGTCATAATCCCGTCTATCACGTCGTCGGGCAGGCCCAGCACACACCTGTCGTTCACAGACAGCAATGCATAGCCTACACACACCCCGGTCCAGTACGCGCCACGCGTCTTATCCACCTGGGTCACCCTCCTGCCCTTGAAACTCAGACCCACCACACCCCGCTCTGGGCACACCAACCCCTTGTACAGCATAATCCAGGGCTGTCCATAGGTTTCCAGTGTGATGTGTCTCGTGCTCTCCAGGGTCTGTTGCACGTTGTGTATGCCTCGGATGGGGTGGCCGTTGAGGGAGACTACCTTATCTCCCCAGGACAAGCCCATGCGAAACGCACCCGACTGTGTGCCCAGACTGTCCTCAAACTCCTCCACATGCAGCACCATGTAGTGCCTATTCACCGCTACTATATCCGCCCCGAATCGTGCGGTGGCATGCGTCTTGTACGCTGCTACTTCCTTCTTCAACGGGTTCGTCTTGATGTTGTTTATACCAGCAGTATTCTCGGTATGAGGGGCGTGGGGCGTGTCCATGTATTCCACCTCCTTCTTCTTGTAGATAGATCGGAACGTGGTTGCGCCTGCGTTCAGGTCCGTGTCTGAGTCCAGCGACGCCTCCGAGAACACCGCAAGATTCGACATTGCATTACTTGATAGAGACCTTTTGATCTTTGCGCGTATCCCGTGTGGAATTCGGGGGCTCCTACGCCTACTGCCCAAGCTCTCTGGCCCAACCCCGTCACGTGAATTAATACCGTTACCATTAATATCAGTATTAGTGTCCCCTGCTTGGCCCGTGCCGGCGGCCGAGCTTTGACCATCCCCACCACTCCCGTCACCAGATACAACATACCTACCCTGCTGCTTGTTCTGATTCCTGTCATCATGCGGGACGTACAAGTGTGTCCCGCCCTGGTTTTCCTCAGACCTGGGTACTCTCAGGTCCTGTAAGGAGCTTGACCGTGCTTGCCCCTGTGTGCTCCTGCCTTTCGGCTTGTTACTTCTTCCAGTTGCGCCTTTCACCCAACTCGACAACACCTCCTGTGCTTTGGAGCCTTTACGCACCAGCTTCCCACTTATACTGTTCTTTGGCGAGGGCTTGCCGCTAGTGCTGTACTTCTCCTCTACGGTACACCTGCCAGAATCACTGTTTTCAGCCTTTTTGGTACCTCCAATAGACTCGGGGCTTTGTCTGTTCTGGGGGTGGTCCGAAACTAATCCTGGCGCAGTACTGGCACGCTGTAACTGAGTCTGACTTCCCCATGCGCCTCTTTCACTTATCGCGTTGTCATGGCAATACCTCAGAGTACTGACGCTGGGTGCAGCCGTACCTGCCCTAGCTCTATTCGATCGCCCAACTGTCAATTTCTTGTCTCCCCGTCTCGCTATAGCCCGCTTCTCACTCTCCTCATACTTTGAATCAGACAGGTGGTTGGTAGTGCTGTTTAAACCTTTTGATGGACTAGAATGTCGCATTTTTAAATGTCGTTCATTTTGTTTTTTCACGCCTACTTCTTTTCCCCTTCTATCAGTATCCGTATTAGGGCTTCTCTTTTCCGAGTGATAATCCGAGGCGTCCGGTGTATCACGCATGTCTGCATCTAATTCACTACGTGGGTTCTGAGACCTGCGTCTGTGATCGATATTATCTCTAATATCTTGATTACTATTACTGCGGTTTTGCATAGCCCAGTCTATGCGTGAAGCAGGCACCCGACGTCCCGGATGCATTGAGATGTACTTTACCTTAACGATATGACGATTTTTCTTGAACGCTGAGAGGTTCTATCATTCAAAGTTGGCGATACTTGTAGAAGGCCTGTGTTATTGTAACAAATGTTAGAAATATAAATGCAAATCGAGTCTACGAGTCTATGACGTTTATTTACAGACAGTTGTTTGGTACATGCCGCACTTTATGTAGCGTACAACCTCCGTAGTATGTTTTACAACACCAACACACGAATACGTGCTTATGTGGTGAAGGTTCAGAACAATGATCGTAAGTCGGCTACCATATCTACCCTCCTTATACAGTGTTGATTGTATAATTGTATTCGGTATGTAAATATTGTATGTATGTACGTACAAAAGCATGAGTTAGATGTAACCTTTTATGGCACAATCTCGTTCTGGCGGGAACTTCTCTTGCTCTTTCTTCTGCGTCCTGCATATTTTACTAGTTATCAGTTTTTACAAACTCCTTCTCGATAGTTCATCTCGCCTGCTGTCCAAGAGCGGTCAGCTTGTGGTGAGTAAAACCTATGACACATTGTAATCAGGATTATATTTGCAATTAAAAACTGTAGCCGTTACTTATTGTGATATGTGCATTAAAATTTGGTATATTCTTGCAGAATAATATAGTTGAGTTGTGGCCATGCTTTTAGTTGTTTCTTGTTGTCTTAATCACATCAATAGTCGACCTAGGCTGGTCGAACAAACCATCACTAAAGTTAGTCTTAAAGTTGTCTGTTGGTTCCTCATGTGAATATACCGCTCGCCTGTTTCAGCGTAATTCTCCTAATAATAAGTATTCAGTATATAGACTTCCCTAAACCTTCTCCATAATACCAAATGAGAACTAGAGGATACTAGGGACCGAGCAACGCACAATCACTCATCTACTGGTTACTGTTTAAATATTTCCCGAATAGTTATATA